AGGTTTGAATTTTATCTTCAGTTCTTTCAGCTTGAGAAATGCTGAGGCATGCCCTTCCATTTTGGTTTTCTAACTTCAGGTCTTTGCACAATTTCATTTTAGTACTTGCCTTTGTTTTCTTGAGCTGCTCTGTTGAATCGTCTGTTCAGCTCTTTTACTTTCTCATTTCTTCCATTTGCTTTGGCATTTCTATGCTGGAGAGTAAGTTTCAGACTCTCTTCTGGCATTGACTTGGTCTTTTCTTTCTTCCTTGCCTTCTAAATGACCTTTTCTTTTCTTTCTGCATGATTTTCCTGATGTCATCTCATAACTCCTCTTGTCTTCCTTCATTAGTGTCTAACAAATCAAAATTGTTCTTGAAATGGCCTCTAAATTCAGGTGGGATTTGTTCAAGGGTATATTTTTGGCTCTCCTGGACTTGGTTTTAATATTCTACAGCTTCAGCCTGAACTTGCATATGAACAAATTATGGTCTTTTCCACAGTCTGCCCCTGGCCTGGTTTTGGCTGAAGATACGGAGCTTTTCCACCATCTCTGGTCACAGATTTAGTCAATTAGATTTTTGTGTGTGAGTGCAGAGAAGGCATTTGCAATGAAGAAGTAAGCCACTGGTCTTGCAAAATTCTATGATGATCATTTCTCCAGCACCATTTCTACTACCAGGGTCATATTTTCCAACCGCTGATCCTTCTTCTTTGTTTCCAAGCTTTGCATTCCAATCACCAATAATTATACATCTATCATGATTGTATGTTTGACCAATTTCATATTGAAAAATTTGTTTGAATTCTTCAATTTCATTATCACAGGGTTTAGCAGACTTGGTTGCATCAATTTGGGTATTAGTGGTATTAACTGGTCATCCGTATAGGCATATGGATATCTTAAGACAGTATTGTACTTCAAGATAGATCTTTATATGTTCTTTTTGATGATGAATGCTACTACTTAACACAGCTTTTCTAAGTAATCACTCACCACCATTTGTTTGTTGGTTTGTTATAACTGTGGTGACATAAGTATAGCGGTATTTTCAATACCAGCAGGGCCACCCATGGTGAATAGGTTTCATTGGAGCTTCCAGCCAAAGGAAGACTAAGGAAAGGCAGACCACTTCAGAACGATTGCTGTTGTTAAGTGCCATCAAGTCATTTCCAACTCATAACAGAGACCCTGGAGAGGGTTTCCAAGGATGATTAACCAGTGAAAAACTTAAAGTGCTGAGAAATGAGCCCCTCAGATTAGAAGATGGAAGAAGAGGTATTGCCTCAAAGTAGAGTTGAGTACAATGGCATGAATGATGTAAAGCATTCGGGATCTTTATTTGCTTATTGGACACAACTCAAAATGAGAAACAGCTGCAAACAGCCATTATTATCCAGAAATGACAAGCACGAAGCATGAATCTAGGATAACTGGGTGGTGGTGGTGGTGTGCCGTGGAGTCTGTTCTGACTCATAGCGACCCTGCACAGGGTTTCCGAGGCTGTGAATCTTTACGGGAGCAGAAAGCTTCATCTTTCTCCCGCCGAACCGTTGGTAGTTACAAACTGCTGACCCTGAGATTAGTAGCCTGATTCGTAACCACTCAGCTACCAGAAAACTAGAGTGGTCAAAAATAAAATGGAGTGCATAAAGATTGAGATCAAAAATAATTTTTTTTTCAAGATCTCAAAGTAAAATGCTGCCTATAATAGGATAACAACCATAAGCCTACAAAGAAGATACCAACAAGGGAGCCTTGGTGGCATGGTAGGATATGCAATGGACTCAGTTAGTACTTGAAATCCACAGTCACATCTCTGAAACTCTATACAGGATTATTATGAGATGGAACAGACTCAATGGCACACAACAAAAAGGGAGATGAGTTAATACGATTATATTAAGATTTATGCACCAACCACAAAAACCAATGATGATAAAATTTAAGAATTCCACCAACTTCTTCAGTCTGAAACAGATCAAGCATTCATTGATAATTACCAGTGACTGAACTATGAAGGATCAGTGAAAAAGGATCAGTAGTTAGAAAATATGGCCTTGGTGATAGAAATTATGTGGACACTGCGTGGAAAAAATCTTCATTGCAAATATCTTATTTAAACAACATGAGAGGTTACTATACTGCTATCCCCTCTGTACACAGGGTAGATGGGGATAGGCAACTTAGACACTGCCTACCTAAAACAAGGGGGTGATAAAGGCACAAAATGACTGGCTTACAAGGTTTCAAAGGCGAGTTTAAGAGTGGGGGGAGGAGAAAGCGTCCCAGTGAATAGTTTTCATCTGTCTAGATGTGTCTGGTTAAAAAAGATGGGGATAAGATTGTTATGATCAATAGTGAGTGACTATCATCACAACTAATTGCAACTGTCACAACTGTAAAGGTAGAAGTTTTGTAACAAAAACGGGGGAGTAGTTAATCTTACAGTCCAGAAACAGAAGACCCTAGGACCATCAAGGGAGAAGAGCACAAGCAGAACGCAGGACCCTAATCCAGAGAAGCAGCAATGCCAGAGATGGAGGCAGAGATGGAGACATGGAGAGAGGGGACAGCTGAGGACTCTAGAATCATGGAAAGAGAGGGACTGAGAGCTGGCAGCCAAAAGGCAGACTTGTAGAATGTGCCCTCTGATGGTGTAGATTATTATATATGCCTGAGTGTTAAAAAAAAAAAAAAAGTTAAATACTGTTAACTGATGGTACATGGAGGGGATTGTAATCATGATAATGAAACAAGATGTATAGTTTGTTGAATGTAAAACTGATGACCTCTAACTTCCACTCAAACTGTAAACTTTTACTCAATCCACAATAAAAACTTAAAAAAAAAAAAAAAAGTTACTATACACATGGACCTCACCACATGGAATACACAGGAATCAAACTGACTACATCTTTGGGAAGAGAAGGTAGAAAAGCTCACAACTATCAGTCAAAATAAGGCCAAGGGCAGAACGTGAAACAGACCATCGATTATTCATACATTAGATACTAATGACTGAAGATCAAAAGAAGTGTGGAAAAACATCAACAACATCATGCAAGAAGAAAGTAAAAAGTTGGAAAGAAAGAAAAAACATTGTACTTATTTAATCTGTATGCTGAGCAAATAATTTGAGAAGCTGGATTCTTTGAAGAAGAACATGGTATCAGGATTGAAGGAAGACTCATTAACAACCTGCCATAGGCAGATGATACAATTCTGCTTGTTGAATGTGAAAAGGACTTAACAAAGCTGTTGTTATTGTTAGGTGCCACTGAGTTGGTACTGACCCATAGCAACCTTATGCACAGCAGAACGAAACACTGCCCAATCATGGGCCAACCTCACTACTGTCGCCATGCTTGTGTCTATCAATGCTGCCACTTGGCCAATCCATCTCCTTTTTCTCTGACCCTCCACTTTACCAAACATGATATCCTTCTCCAGTGACTGGTCCCTCCTGACAATATGTCCTAAGTATGACAGACGAAGTTAGGCCATCTTGGCCTCCAAGGAGCACTCTGGCTGCACTTCTTCCAAAACGGATCTATTGGTTCTTTTGGTAGCCCATGGCACTTTCAATATTCTCCTCCAACACCATAACTCAAAAGCATAAATTCTTCTACAATCTTCCTTATTCACTGTCCAGCTTTTGCATGCATATGAGGTTACTGAAAATACTATGACATTTTTAAAAGTATTCAAGAGCAAAGATGTAGGAGTTTGATGAATATGGTGCAGTCTGAACAAAGTCATGGTATTCTCAATGGCCTCAAATGCATATGGAAGTTGGACAGTGAATACAGAAGATCGTAGAAGAACTGATGCATTTGAGTTACGTGTTAGAGGAGACTATAGAAAGGATCATGGATGCCAGACGAATAAATGATCAGTGTTGGAAGAGGTACAGCCAGAGTAATCTTCACAAGGGGTAGACAGTTTATTCTAGCTCCCTTGGAGTGACTGGTAGATTCGAGTTGTTGACCATGTGGTTAGTAGGCCAGCTCATAATCCACTACGCTACCAGGGCTCCATAGCATTAAGGTTTCTCAGAGAAACGTAAAGATGCTACTTTTTTCATAGGAACGGTTAGAGGCCCTAACTGCTCAATATTACAGATATATCACTGTGTTGCTTCCTAGTACTCTGGTATCTGAACCCCTTTAGCAAGGTAGTGGTCATTGTTCATCACTATGGCTAGAAATGACCAAGAGTGTAACAGCAGTTCATCAGTAACCTCATTCAAACCAATGTAAAACAAAACAAAATAGAACACCACACGATAAAAGAGCACCTCCTGATGGATACAAGTGCTATTCACTCTGGGGGTCTCATGTTTGAGTACAATCACCTTTTGAACAGTGACCTCTGGAGCACCTCTTGGAAGACACATGGCTGCTTATCTTACCCTCCCAGTATGTACCAAAAGGCAGCTTCACCCACTTTATTATCTCCTCTGCACGGGATGGGAGGGGAAGACATGTGTCTGCCAAGATTTGGAGAGTATGGTACAGAGAGGCTGTGCTGCACAAAGCGTGTGTTTACTGGAAAGCTTAGCCTCCTTGCATGAGCTTAGGTTCAGTGTCGTCAGGTGTGAGATGGAAACACAAGGATGCATCTTGGCACGTTATAATGTTTAAATAAAAGGAAGTACCATTTCATACAAAAGTTTTTGAATACAAAGGGAACTATTTAACCATTCACAAAGAAAAAATATTCTGAGATAGTAGTTCTATTTTCATTGTCATCTTCTAACAAATAGAAAGTCAGGAATATTATAGACAAATTATATCCTATATGCCGAAGGAACCTCACAACACTTCATTCATGATGCAACTTACAAAATTAACTTTAAAAAGTGATGATTATATTTCAAAAACACTTCTAATTTCAGAAACTGAAATTTTTTGAGTTTGCTTATTAGGAAACTAGTAAACAGATAAAGGTCAACATCTCAAAACACGCCTTCTTTAGTGAGTCAAAACTTCCTTTTAGTAATTAAGATATCTCACCTAATCAGAACAGAGTCTCTGGCATAACCACCATCATATTCTGTAGTTTCTTCTAGTGCTTGAAAATCCAGATTCTGCAAATATAAGAAAACATCTTTAACATCTTCGGTACCACAGAGCTACAAACAATAAGTCAATACATAACATTTTGTAGACCACTATTTTCTTACCCGGCTTCCACAAATGAGCAATTCAATTTCTTCTGGTCTGAATAAGTACTTTAAGGGAGATTCATTGGTAACCATATGAAAACCTCTCCGAAAGGCCTTGAATTGTTTTTCTACTGATTTATTGAGAATGTAGTCAGAATAGAGATTGACAAATTCCTGTAGAAAATATTAACCACAAGAACTTCTTTTAATATGCTATGCAAAAACACAGCCAGCTTCTTAGAAATGCACAGCTTTACAAATTTGATTTTCCCCAATGAAAACATACTCAAGGATAATTTTACATATACAAAGAAAAAGGTTTTATAATTCATGGCTCTGAGCAATAGCCTAATTAAACTGTAAATTTATGTACACAAACTGATTAAACCAAACCTACAGCCATCAAGTCGATTCTGACTCATGTTGTTGTTATTACGTGCCGCGGAGTCAGTTTGATTCACAGCCCCCTTTTATAGGGTTTCTGAGGAGTGGCTGGTGAGTTTGAACCGCAGACCTTGTGGTTCAAACTGGCCTTGCAGTCCAGTGTTGCCTACTGCCCTCAGTTGAGTAAAAAGTTGCCGTTCTGTTTGATATATATGCATCTCTTCCGAGTCATGAATGGATTATGTACTTTGTATTCTAATAAGCATTAACATTTAAAATATTTTAAAATGTTTCAAGTGTTGTAACATTTAACATTCAAAATGTGTGGCTCTGTGAGTTAATGCACCAGACTGCAAAGCTGTTTGAACCTCAAGGTCGGTGGTTCAAGCTCACCAGCTGCTCCTTGGAAACCCTATACAGGGTCGGGATGGGTTGGAACCAACTTGACGGTACTTAACAACAACAACTATATTTTAAAATAATTTTTCAGTTATATTCTAGGTCATTACCCTGTTTCCAGATAAACAGGTGGTTTTTTTTTGTTTTTTAGCTAACAGGAAAGTTTTGATTTAAAGAATAATTATGAGAAGTGTAGTTATGTCAAAAAAAATGGGATATACACAACAGAAGTGACTCTATAGCATGTAACACAGAAACAAAGCCCAGTATTCACTCAATACCCCACAGTGAAACTCCCTGCCTGCCTGCCTGCTGCTGTTGCTAACTGTTCCTGAATCAATTCTGACTCACAGCTACCCTATATAGGGTTTCTAAGGAGCGGCTGTGAGTTTGAACCGTTGATCTGTGGTTCAAAACAACCTTGCGGTGCAGTGCTTTATCCCACAGCACCACACCAAGAGTTCTTTATTACTGACCACACTGCCTGGCCCACTCCAAGTTCATAACAATACTCATAAAATAGTTAAATAAGGAGCTTTAGGGGGGAGTAACATCAACAGATTAAGTCAATCAATGACATTAAAAAAAGCAAAATCTTTCTTAAACCAAATAGAGAAGAGCTGCATGTAGAAAGTCCTAGCTGTAGGGGCTTCCTTGTTTCACTACAAGGTTATTATTCTCGCTTCCAGAGTTCAATTCACACTATGCATGTCTATGGAAAATCAGCCTCTCACTTTTCTTCTATTATGGCCTCCCTTCCTTCTGTCTCAAAACGTCTAGATAAATAATCCAATGAAATCCCATTGAGTGCTATGGGTAAAGCAGTGGCTCACAATGGGGAGTGGGAGAGAATGGGGAGAACTGTGCCCCACCAAAGGACATTTCACAATGTCGGGAGACACTCTGACTATTATGATTCAGGAAGGTGCTGCTGGCATCTAGTGTGTCGAGGCCACAGGGATACTGGTAAACATCCTATACAAGGCAAAGCAACAGTCCCACAACCAAGAATGATCTGGCCCCTTAAGTACACAGTGCCACGGTTGACAAACCCTGGTCCAACTATCTCTACCCTCTGACCTCTTAGGATATAGAATAAGCATCCGTCTTTGCCTCCTCTATTTCTAAGTCTGGTTACAAAGTTTCTGGTAATAAAACATAGGGCCATACCATTCTTACAGCAACCACTCACTATATGATTCTGAAAACAATAGCACTTCTTGCTGCTGTTAGTGCTGTCATGTCGGTTAGGAATCATAGCAACACTGTATAGGGTTTTCGAGGAGCAGCTGGTGGATCTGAATCATAGACCTTGAGGTTAGAAGTCTATTGCGTATCCTACAGTGCCACATCAGGACTCCATAATGGCACCAAAAGAATGAAAATTTGACCATTTTTAGAGAGTACAGTAGTGTGATCCAGGCCTGAATGGCAATTATAGGATGGCCTTATTTAGGATGAGAATGTCCACTCAAGCAACTTTCCCATAGTATGAGGGAGGGCAGAGTCACAGAAAATAAAACTGTGTGTTTGAATCAGGCTCACTCTCTGGCTTCTTTCAGTTCTCTCACCCTGACAGCCTGAAAGATTTCAGTGCCCACACTTCAAAGGTAAGAAGGACTAGGTAAATAACACAGCAAGAGAAAAATCAAGGGCTGGGAGGGATGTACCTTATATTTATTCAAAATATTAAGGATAAATAACAAAACCAGCATAATTATGGGAAATGGGAATTAATTTTTGTTATCTTTTTTGGTATTTTCCAAAATTTCTCCTTGGACCATTCATATATTAATGCTTATTTATGTATTAAGATTAATTCTGAAATACTATTAAGATACATTAGCTACAACTGACTTTTAAAAAATACAATCACAAAGTATACTTATTACCAAACAAAGGTTTTAAAATATGTGATTATATCTACATAATCTTGGTTACTTGAGATTTCTTGACACAAACTATTAGACACTTCTTTGAAAATTACAGGAACACATGCTTTGAAATTTGGTTACCAGAAAGAACAATGAAGAAACAAAAATGTGTTACCTTCCTGTTTTCATTAGTAATTGGAATTTTATCACCATTTTCCTTGAGATCATACATCATTGGATTACCAAAAAGATCCGTCTGAGATATCTGGAAGGTGATCATCATGTCATCTTCCACATTTCCTTCATACTCCAACAAATCTTTTAAACTCTGATACAGAACCTAACAATAAGAAAGGGAAAACTGAAGCTACCATAATACCACAGAGTACAACAAATTGTTTGTATCATGCTTCATGGAAAACAAGAGTCTGTCAGGAAGAATTAAAACACAATTAGCATTCTGTTTGGTCCCTAAATAGTTTACACCATAGAAATGACAGAATGATTGCCATTAATTGATGCGGTGTCCCATTCTCTGCTAGCACAACCTAAGCAGTAGAACTCACACTCTGCTCGATCAGTTAGGGAAGGACACCGTGGAAGCCAGAAACGGAAACACACACTGCAGCTAGCAAGCACGTCAGTCAGGCCAGCACTGACTTCATTTGGCAATCTCACAGAGTTTCATTTAAAGAAAAGCAAATTGTTTCAAAGCCACTGTTCTATGTTATTGGTCTTACAAAAGCTGCTTGCTGACAGCAACATATGAAACATTTTCCCTTTGAGTTTTTAAGTCTTAACGGTACAACATAAGATTAAAATAACTTTATTGTTCTGGATATATGAACAAATACTCCCTCACTCCAAAACATCTAAAATTTAAACTACATTCTAACATTTAAATAAAATCTAAGGTATCAACTAAAAAACATAAAGAACTTACTGGGTGAGAGTCTCCCAAGTCACGAAAAGTTCCTTTTTTCCCCATTAGCTTCCTGTAGACAACCATGGGAAAATGTACATCCAGTATACAGTTATTGTAAATTGCCAGACCCAGTACTATGCCAATCAGAGTAAACTGACCCTCAGTTTCAAAAGAAGATGGATTAAACCAAAACAATTTTGTAGATTCATCATATGTGAACATACCTATAAGAAATGAGTTGTAAAAAATATATTACTTTTGTATTCTATTAAAGACTGACAATGGAAGACAATCAAAATATAAATTTGAAATAATTACACATATGAAACTTCGAGTACCAGTTGTACAAAATTTGAGAGTAGTCAGAATAGACTGACAAATTCCTATAGAAAACATTAACCACAAGAACTTCATATGCAAACAAAACTGTAAAAGCTACGTACATAAACTGACTAAACCAAAGCAAACCTCCTACCATCAAGTCAATTCTGACTTACAAACTCTACATGATAAGGTTTCTGAAACTGTCAATCTGTTTCTATTACTTGAGCACTTGAGAAGCCAATATTCAAACACATTCTGATTTTATTATTATAAGTTACAGCAAATGGTAACATGTAACTTTAAGAAATGAAGGAAACAAAGCAATAAGCAATTCTGGTGCATGTTACTCATTAAATTCAAAATTTCTAATCTTCCACTAACGTGAAAAATTAATTAACATACATATTTTATCCACTCAATGGTAGAAAAACAAAAACAAATTATCAATAAAGATAAAAGGCTATCATACTTTGAGCAAACTTCATTTATAAAACCATAACTGATCCATTTAAAAAACATACAATTTAAACTGTTTTTATTGTAGTTTTCAATTTTTCAAAACTGCACACTAAGACAATGAACTTTTTCTAGCACCTTTCTAATGAGACATTAGAAAGGGTTTCCATGGAGCATCTGGTGGTTTTGAATCACCAAACTTGAGGTTAGCAGTCCCATGCTTATCCTAGAATGCCACACCAGGGCTTAAGAAAAGAGGCTATTAAGTCAGTAAGCTTGGTAAACTTAGAATATGTCCACAATCCAAAGCTATTTCACACATGAACTGTAAGCTACTATAGAAAATAAAGGCAGTCTGCTGTTAGTTTCACCTGGGTCCTTCATTATTCCAGATCCAAATCTGAAGATCATTTTGATGTTACTTATTGTTAGCTGCCATCAAGTCAGCCCCGGCCCAGGATTTCTTGGCTATCTTTACAGAAGGAGTCCCCCAGTCCTTTCTCCTCATTGCGACCCTGCATAGGGTTTCCAAGGCTGCAAACCTTTACAGAAGCAGAAAGCCTCATCTTTCTCCCATGGAGCGGCTGGTGGACTCCAAATGCTGATCTTCAGGTTAAGCAGCCCCTCACATAACCCACTGTGCTGCCAGGGCTCTAAACCATCAGGGGAGCAGCCACTGGTGCCACCCAAGCTATTCACGCAGTGGAGAACAGGATATATATTTGGTTTTATCAATCTGAAAGCCATTACTAAGACAGCACTGCCTTTTTCCCTTCAAATCAATGTCATAAGGAAAAGTCAGTTAAGAATTGTATAGGAATTTATAACATTTTCTTTTTACATATGAATTTTTCAATTCTTACTGTGAAATTGAAGAAATATGTTAAGACTTAGATCTCAAAACTAAAAAACTCTAATTTCAGTAGAAATAAAATAGTACATAATAACTACATTTTAATCCTTCTGTGACACCTACACAGATATATTTCAAACAAAATGCTTTTAAATGCATCTCTGCAATCAGTGGACAGCTGCAGATAAGTTCTCTAAGTAATACATTTGTGTTACTCTTGTTAGGGTACTTTCAAAAAAGATCTAGTCAAAATAAGGGCTTCTGAGATCTACTGGACAAGTTAAACTCAAGGCAGAGGCCAGCTCAGAAGGTTACAGAGACTGTTTGAGGATTCCTGTGGTAAAACAGTGGTAGATTTTCTCGAAGAACTCAAAATGATCACAGGGGATTTTGAAGAAGTTTTAAGAAAACAAAATCCACCCTACAGTCCTGATCTTGCCCCTTCAGAATTCTTTGCACTTTTTTTTGTCCCTCAAACTCAAAGAATGCCCAAGGAACCTGATATGATTCCCTCGAAGATGCCCAAACTGACGTGCTGACGTGGTGTAAACTGAAATGCACAGAATTCTCTGGGGAAGGATTAGAAAGAATTAAAATACAGCCTTCAGATGTATACAGAACTAGTTGGAGGATATGTTAGGAACAATCACTTTACATTTTGATACTGTTTAATAAAGGGTTCTATGGGTTTAGTAGCAATACTTTTTGACTTACCCTTGTATATCATCACCCACCAACATTTCCAGCCTCTCAGGGTTCTTGGGAATCTGCTATCCCAGTTGCAGTACGTGCTACCACCTGCTGGGGACCTGTGTAACTGCGGGATTCTGAAGAAACGGGACTCACCCCACCAGTCCTACCATCAGAGTCCACTTTGGACATATGACTACCACATAACTGTTATCAAAATCCATGTTACCTCAGGGGGAAGAAAAAAACACCAAAGTTGATTTTTTCCCCTTGATTTCAGCATGTTTTCCATTACTGAAACCACACAATATCAACAATAAAAGCTACAAAGCAGATTAATAATTTGGTCATGTTGATGTTACTACGTGCCGAGGAGTCAGTTCAAAGGATGTAGTGGTTGTTAAGTGCCATTGAGTCAGCTCTGACTCACAGAGACCCTGTATAGAGTTTCCAGGGATTGGCTGGTGAGCTTCAATTACGGACCCTGTGGTTCTAACAGACTCTGCAGGCCAGCGCAGCATTAACCCACAGAGCCACACCAGGACTCCAGTTTGGTTATAAAAGGGTTCAAATCAGATTACCAAGAAGTTTGAAAGCCTTAAAAATGTTCCTTCATTTTCACATTTAAGTTCAAAATAAAGACATTTTAAAATGTTCTCTTAATCACCAGAGCACAAATTATGAAGAGTTCTTAAAATTTTAATCTTCAGGAAATGATAGCTTGGAATCATCTATTACTTGACGTTCAAAGTCTAGACTTAAGGAGGTTTTTTAGGTAAACTGATGTTACAATCTGGTTCATTTAGTTGTAACCATGGTAACACGGAGGGCTGCTGCTGCTGCTGCTGCTGCTGCTTCCACCCATCCTCAGGGCTGGCGCAGCTCAGAGCGGCCCTGCATCTGTAGGGAGCTGAAAGCCTCATCTTTCTCAAAGGAGAAGCTGATGTGTTTGTTAACTGCTGACTATACATAATCCACTACATTACCAGGGCTCCTTAGTAAGAGGGCTAAGTACATAAGTACAGTTCATTATATTATACATCATTAATAAATTTGATGATCTCAGAAATGCACATCCTTGGTTTCAAAAGCAATAAAGTATAAATTAACGAGAATATATAAGTTGCTGTTGAGTCAGTTCCGACTCATTAGCAACCCTGTATGGGGTTTCCGAGGAGTGACTGGTGAGTTTGAACTGCCAACCTTACGGTTAAAACCGACCTTGCAGTTCAGTGCTCATCCTACAGCCACACCAGGACTCCTGTATATAAGAGAACACAAATTCTGAGTCCAAAGAAATACTGTTTTTCAGGTGGTAAAGAATTGGAAGACTTCATCTTGTAAATTAGTTCTTTTGATATTTTTACCGCTATCATTTCAATTATCTAGTAACTTTTTGCTTTCAAACATAGTTGTTGTTAAATGCCATGGATCCAGGTCTGACTTATCGACCCTGTTCAGGGTTTCTAAGGAGCAAATGGTGGGTTTGAATTGTCAACCTTGTGGTTAGCAATCCAGTGCTTACTCTAAGGTGCTATACAAGGACACCTTGAAGACATTAGTATATCTTTTTCTTAAAAATATTTCTGCATATATAAGTACTTTAACATTTATAGACAGGTCTGAAGCTTGAGCTCAAGATTTACTATAAACCAAATGGAGAAATTACATAGTTGAATTACCTTTGTTTTGCAACTGTCTTTTCCTTTATGAAGCTTATAAAGTATTACCTTGATCAAATTTTTCCTTAAACTCAAAATTATTTGCTTTTAGTTATATATATTTATAGATTACTGACCAGTAACAATCAGAAAGATCAGTTCAATGCATTTAACTTAAAAATAGGCCGTTAACAGTAATGACAAAGATTAAGGGTAACGACCTATGCATTTCACACAAATCAGATGTTACCATTAGTGGAAACCTTTTCTATACCTGTTGTTGTTGTTAAGTGCCATCGAGTCGGTTCCGACTCATAGCAACCCTGTGTGGCTGGTGAACTTGAGCTGCTGTTGTTGTGGTTTCAACCAACTATGCAGTCCAACGCATAACCCACAGCACCGTAGCAGGACTCCTATCACTGGATGGCTTCAATTAAAAAACTAAGCAGGCCCAGAATCTCCAAGTTGTTCTACTGTGAAAAATGAACTAGGTCAGGGCTATCCACTTATCCAAGGAGTTGTATATCTTCCCTGTTCTGCTTTGCCTATTTGTCTCACAATCAACAAGGAAGAAAACCTGAAACTCAATTCCTTCACTTTCCAACTGAACCATACAGATCAGCCTTTCCCAAAGTGTGTGAAGTGAGACATTTCTAGGGAGACAGATACCATTAGAGATGCGAGGTGAACAAGGGAAGAAATATGATAATGACAGCTCTAAGATATCTTACACAAATCAATCTGTTTGATACAGTCCAGACTTTCTCTAAATTTTGAGACAGTCTCAACATTCTTCAGACCACTGTTCTTATAAGCTCTTGTTTTGTATCACAAATTTGATCAACATTTCGACTACCAAGAAGAGCATTATTTGTTAAGTGCCGCTGAATAGAATCTAATTCACCAGGATCTTGTTTAGGGCTTCTGAGGAACAGCTGGTAGTTTTGAACCCCCAACCTTGAGGTTACTAGCAGTCTAATGTTTATGCTACCACACCACACCACACCACACCAGGAATCCAGAAGAGCGTATAAATCCTTTTAATTATTTAGTGTACCATTATTATCAAGTGTTCCTAGTTGAAGTTACCAAAAAGATGATTTTCTGTATTAAACTATTTGGCTACGTAATCTCAGTAAGAATGTGAAACAATGAACCACTGAAATCATTATCTGTGGTTCTAATTAATCCACACCAAAACTTTCTTTTATTGTTCTTTCTCACTAAGAATGTCTATAAACTAACATAAAAAAATTCTTTATTTAAAAGGATGGTTTGACACCATAATCACATCACTAAAATATTTACCAATATCTGGATTGAAGATTTCCTCCACGACCAGCTGAAAGAATTCTTTGGAAACACCTCCCTCATCAACTCCTTGTTCTCCTTCAAATTCCACATATAATTGTTTCTTCAAGTCTGCAGGATTTTCCATAGCAATCATCTCTAGCTAGTGAGTGAAAAAACAAATGGGAAAAGGTGACCAGAAGTATCAGGATGAAAGCAAAACAAGTAGAGGCAAAATAGATACAAAATAAAAATGAAGAGTGGGAGAGGGAGCAAAATAGGACATTTTGACTCATTTGTTTGTAAATGGAAACAAGAGGTAAACTGGTAAAAAGCCAGGGAAGTCCAGGATAGTTCTCAGACTCAGTTTTTGTAGTAAAAAACAAGAATTAGACTTTCTGTTACCAAATCTAAGCTGCAAATAATATCAGCAAAATCAATGGCAAAATTTGGTCTCAAAATTGTTTATGCATAGTCCTTCATGTTTTTAGAATAGAAAGTCAAGAACTGAGTCTTCATATTTATAACTCAAAATAAATTGACAGTAAATAGGCAAGCAATTTGTGTCTTTCTGAAGTGTGCTTAGTCTAAATTACTGCTTTTTAATGGATTAAAATTCACACTGCCTTGAAGCAGGTAAGACAAACGCTTACTTACTCATACCTTAATTTCTTGTAAATTACCAAATGCGAGTATTTCTCATTTTTCCAACTATAAATATTTTACTCAGCATGTTTTCTATCTATGGAAATCAATCTCAGTCACTATAAGACCCTGAAACACTTCTTTAGTCATAAAATGTATACCAGATTCTACTATGAAATGTTTGTGCTACAAGTTAGTTGTTTCATCTATGTGAAATGTACTAACAGTAACTCCACACACTACACACTTTATTTGCTAAACTGGGTCCAAATGGGCATTTAAAACAAATTCCACTCTTTGTGGATGCAAATTTGCCATAAGAAGAGTATTTAAGGGTATGCAGATTACAATTCCAAACAGAATTTTAAAAACTGGCTTTGAGCAATGTGAACATGACTAGAATATAGTATAATCCTAAAGTAATTATTTTAGATAACAGCATTTTTTTGGACATCCTAGTTTATTTGTAATATTTAATACAATCATGTATCATGTCAAATTACCTAGATCAATATTTTATAAACAACAATCATTAGTGATTAGTCTAATCCATTTAGTGGTTTACAACAAACACTGAGGAAAATATCAGAATGTTTTCCACATGGTAATGGCACCTGTCTTGTGAAAGTTTCGTTTCAATTACAGGGACAGATGGATATATGTGTATACTGTTGTTCAGTGCCATCAAGTTGGTTCTGACCCAGAGCGACACTTTAAAGGTTTCCGAGGACCAGGTGGTAAGTTTGAACTGCCTTTGCAGTCTAGCGTATTAACCCACAGTGCCACACTAGGACTCCATATTTATACTAAGTAAAAAATTTCTTACTAGGGGTTGAAGTCAACAAAAGTTTGAACTATATAGTCCTGAATGATTTTGGTTACCTTCAACTTTTGGATTTTATGATTTTGTGAATTTAATCAATTTTAGTTATAAAATTAATTAGCATTATCTCTTTGCTTTAGCTTTTAAAAAAATGTTCTTTCCTTGCTAATCAATGATTATGGTTACAAAATCATTTCATATGTTACTGTATTCATGATTTAGTTTTGAGGCAGGGTGTTCCTGAGGAAAGATCATAAATCAGAATACTCTGTACTAATCTCAACTGTCTTTTAACCTTTAGAAAACAATTCAATTAAGTCTGTATTTCCTCATTTACAAAGAAAAAACAAAGGGCTAACACTCTTCACACTACAAAGTTATGACGGTTTAATGAGAATATATGAATTCTGTACAGAGTTTTAAACTTTTGAAAGCAAATACAGCGTATTTTTATCTTTTCAAATAACTAAATATAATGCTTTTTGAACAGAGGATACACAATTTCATGCTCCCTAAAGAAGCTTGACAAAGGAGCTCTGGTAGCATTGTGGTTACGAATTGGGTTGCGAACCGCAATGTCAGCAGTTCGAAACTACTAGCTGTTCCGCACAAGAAAGATGAGGCTTTCTGCTTCCATAAAGATTTACAGCCTCAGAAACCCTATACAGGGTCACTATGAGTTGGAACCGACTCCTCAGCACATAAGAACAACAAAGAAGCTGACATGGGAGCATAGTGGCTCCAAACGATAAGCACTGGACTGTCAGCCATGATAACTGTGGTTCAAGTCCGTCAGATGCTCTGTGTGATAAAGATGAGGCTTTCTGTTTCCTCCAAGATTTAAAGGCGCTGAAACCCTATACGGTGGGGGGTGGGGTCATTCTGAGTTCAAACTAACTCCACAGCGCTTACGAAGAACAAAGAACCCGACATAACCTAATACCAAAACTTTGTTTTCTAAATAAATGTAAATTTGAAAATAACCTTAGAAAAAGTTTCGTGTGGATATGTTTCAAGCAATAACACATACAGAATCCTAGAATTGAAATTAGATTTATCACCTTATCTGACGTATGATTAATCCATCAAGCCAACCTTTCGTCTTACCTTATAAGGAATTTCTGGTTTTCTTCTTCCAGTTCCCAAATGAAGTGAAAGTACATGTCTGTATTTGCCGTTACAAACATGAAGGCAAAAGGTGTCTTTTGATGATTAATATTTAGGTTATGTACCTATATCCCTTTCTCCACGAATATTCATAAGTAAGAGCTGACTCTCTATCTGATACCTCTTTAAGGATTGGATGCAGAGTTTCTAAAAGATTCACAGGCTCTGGGCTCTAGTTTTGGATCCACTTCAGACACGTCACATGAAAACAGGCAAATTCATCACCATCCCTGATGAGTTGTTACATGTCTGCTCATCCACAAGGATCTCCACGGTCCATTCTGTCCCCTGGGCACTAAGTCAACTTAATACAATATGTTCTATCATCATGTTAATTATGAATATTTAAGTTTACTATCTGTGCTTTAGTTTCTGCATCTGGAAACCGAGCATAAGAGTGTTGGTAATAAATAAGCTAAAGTATGTTATCTTATGTTGTTGTTGTTGTCAGGTGTCATCGAGTCGGAACCGACTCATAGAGACCCCATGCACAGCAGAACGAAACAGTGTCCGATCCTGGGCCAACCTCACTACCGCTGCCACACTTGAGTCCATCAATGATGCCACCTGGCTGATCCCATCTCATTGGGGGTCTTCCTCTTTTTCTCTGACCCTCCATCTTACCCAGCTGGCTGATCCATCTCGTTGGGGGTCTTCCTCTTTTTCTCTTACCCTCCATCTTACCCAGCATGACATCCTTCTCCAGTGACTGTTCTCTCCTGACAACATGTCCAAAGTATGAGAGACGAAGCTTAGCCATCCTGGCCTCCAAGGAGCACTCTGGCTGCACTTCTTCCAAAATAGATCTATTGGTTCTTTTGGCAGTCCACGGCACTTTTAGTATTCTCCTCGAACACCACAACTCAAAGGCATCAATTCTTCTACGGTCTTCCTTATCTTATATCTCCCTTTTTTAAAACAAAGCTCCCTAAAATATTGTCCAGTCACTTAGAGAAAAAGTAAGGACTTTATGTAATAGATATATCATAAAAACTAACAGGCAGTATTTTACAAATAAAAAACTGCTTTAAAGGCAACAGGGTATCTGGAAATTAGAGGCCTACAGTTACAAAATATCCTGGAAAGATTTTATGATATGAGCCTGATTATTACAAGACTTTTCCTAAAGTAGTGTATCTTTTGTATTAATTTCATATAGAGACTGCAAGTGACACTGATTACCAGAGAGAAATAAATATACTCAGCATTTAATGACATCTATGGCTCCACATGATAAGCAATGGACTGCAAATCACAAGGTTCATGGCTCAGGCCAGCCTGTAGCTCCCGGGAAGGAAGATGAGGCTTTCTACTCTTATGAAGATTTAATGCTCGGAGACCCTGTACACAGACACTATGAACTGAAATAAACTCAACAGCACCTTCTGTAGGATAAACACTGGACTACGAACAACAAGATTAGAGGTTCAAACCCACCAGCTACTCCTCAGAAACCCCATACAGGGTTATATGAGTCAGAATTGATTTGACAGCACTTAACAAAAGCCTCTTCTTTGTGAGCATGATGGCTCCATAAGATAAGCACTGGACTGTGTGACGCCAGCTGATCCGTGGCAAAAGTAAGGCTTTCTGCTTCCACTTGGATTTACAGCCTCCGAAACTCCATACAGAGTCTTCAGGAGACAGAACCAGCTTGATGATTACCCTTAATAACAACCAAACTTCTTTATATGACTGCTCTTATGAAAACTTGATTCAATCGATTTTAAGGCAAAATTATTTTCAATCTCTGAATTCTTAATTGGTCATGATGATGAAATCTTAGAGATCACAGTTTAAAAATCTGATCCAGTATCTAAACATTCCCAGTTACAAAGGTAGGATGACATCTCAGTATAATACTTTGGTACCCAGGGATTTTCAAGCAATATGTTCTATTACTATGTTAACTATATATATTTAAACTAACCTCTGTCTTGCCAGATTTTTTAAGTGTCAAAAGTAAAATTTAACCATGTGAATTCCTATATAATATTTTGAGTTATTACTCAGTATGGCACATTTGTGCTTATCCATAACTGGAAAAAAGCTCCTTAGTGTTATAAATATTTAATGAGAGGTCGGAGTACCAGGTACAATAGATCTAATACTTAAGACTGCCTACTTCCTATGAGAAACGCTGGCTAATCCGACTTCAGTCATCTTTTTAGATACTCTGGTCACCAGTTTGCTTGTGAATACACTTAAATCATTGCCTAGGATGGAGTTTTTAGATATTGAGAATTTTTTTTTATCTTTGCAATAAATAAATGAAGATGAATGGTGTTGCATTCATCGTCAAAAAGAACATATCCAGATGCGTCATGAGGTACAACGTTGTCTGTGATAGGATAATATGCATGCGCCTACAGGGAAGCCCAGTTAATACCACTATTATTCAAATTTACACAC